GTACTTGCTTTACTGGAAAGAACCAGAATATGCCAAGTATCTAAAGTAAGTTTAATTTTATAATCCTAAAGACATGTACATTTTATTATAACCCAAAGCACTGATATTTAGTAATCTTCTAAGAATTTTAAATCTCTCCACCTTTTAATTGTCACCTCTGTTGTCGTCACTTAACTTGGATTACTACAGTGATTCCCTCTTTGGTTATTTGTTTATATTCATGCCTCCCCCCCCTAAAAGGAAAACATTAATATAGCCAACTTCTTTTCATAAAAATGCAAATCAGAATATGCTTAAAACCTTTCAGTGGCCTTCCATTCTCTAGAGGGTAAAAAATCTAGCCTGTCTTGTTGGGCTAATGCCTGTGCAACTCAGTATTGTCTTGCTACTCTCCCTGTTTCACTGAGTTTCGAATCCCAAAGAATCCCTAATCTATAAAATGCAGTGACTAAGCCATATGCTGAAAATTAGAGTATTCCAAAAATGATACTTGAATGGGAGGTCTTTTTGAAGGAAGAAACCTTATTGGAATCTTAGAGCTGCTGTTTCTAGGACTTCCTTTGTTCTGAGCATCATGCTCAATGTGGTAATGATGACTTTATACATAAACACATCTTTCAGATTGTTCACTAGACACACATTTTAAGGATTATTTTAGGAAGCATAACCACAAAACTATTCCCTTTTTAACTGTGGCTTTTTGTTTTTTGTCTTTTCTTTTTGGTACTGGGAATTGAACCCAGGATGTTACACTTGTTAGGCAAGTGCTTTGCCATTGAGCTACATCCCAGCCCCCTATTCTCTTTAAATGATGAAAAAAAATAAATAAAAAACCCCTGGAACTTGTGCCTCTGTTTTGTCTTAACCAGGCAATAGTGAACTTCTTTAAAATATTCTGGGCTAGGTGTGGTGATGCATTGAAGAATCTGTTGAGGAGATACAAGGTCAGTAGTGTTTCACAGCAAAGACCATCTCAAAAAAAAAAAAAGGTTGGAGAGAAAAATGTTTCCAATCTGTTCTTTATCAGTCACTTGTCTGAAACTAATTATGAATTATCCCAAGTCCTGGTTCCTGTGCATCTATTGATTCAGGAATCCAAAGGAAAGACTTTTTCTGATCAGATTGCAACAGATGTGCAGGTTTATAGACTCCATCTTGGAAACGTAAACTATCTTCAAGTTTCAGTCTCACACACAGTGTTACTGGGCAATGGCTATCTACTCTGACTGGAGGTTTCCACTGAGTACACATTATTCTATCTGGTTATAGCTTTTTAGTTTTAACTTCTTCCTGGTTTTGTTTTTGGATACCACAGTATGTCCTCTTAGAGATAGCCATTAAACTTCAAAGATATAGTAAACTAATCCCTTGGGTATTTAAGTCTTGCAAAGCTTTAAAAATTTTAAATTGTCAAAAATTAAAGGTAGGAAGGTTTTATGTAACTGTCCAGAGTTTTGGCTGCTCTTTAAAAATTGGAAGAGTTGATAACGGTTACCCAAGTAAACATCTGGCTGGAGCCAGTTGTCACATTTTACAGGTTTATTAAGTACCTTGCTGAAGGCCACCTGGTGCACAGACCTACAGCTTTTAAACTACTGTAACGAGAAACTATCAAGGCCAGTGGGAATAGAACATTTCTAGGCTAGGCAATCAACAATTATAGCTATTTTTTTTTTTTGTAAATAGAAAACCTCCAATACCTTGGAATGACTATATCTATATAGATATAGCCCTCTGGTGTTGCTCCAAACCTATAGTCTTGGTATCTTTGGCCCCAACCCAGACCTACAGAACCAGAACCCTATAGGGATTTTTCTTTGGAGGTACTCAGGTTTGAATGCAGGGACTTGCCCTTATTAGGGCACTGAGCCAAACCTCCAGACCTACTTTTTGCTCATTAAAGCTAGGTGTTGCTTTCTGCCTATGTGCCTAAATTCTGATCTGTTTTAGACTTCCTATAGTTGGAATGCCAGGCATATATTACTGTGTTGAGTCTTGAACTTTTTTGCTTTGGTAGGCCTGAAACTGATTATATCCAATCTCAGTCTCTGACATAACTTAGGATAGGTACAAGCCACTGCACGCACTATGGATTGAAGAGACTTACAAACCTTTGCTGGGCCAGCTGGCTATGAACTGCAATCTTCTCATTTGAAGCCTCCTGACAAAGCTAGGATTACAAGCATAAGCTTCTTGTGTCAGAATTTTAATAAGTGGTATTAATGCACATATTAGCTTAAGAAGCACTGCTTTGTCTACAAACTCCCTTATTTTGAAGAATTATTCAGTTTTGAATTTTAGTAGTTTGGCATTTTCTTCAATTTGAAGTCATTTATATAGTTGAAATAGTAAAGAAAATTTCTGTATTTACACAGGTATTCTAAATGTTAACATTTAGTGATTAAAAGCCTAAACTCTGCATTTCTAACAAATTACTAATCTAGGCTATAGACCCCATCTGAGGGCTTAGACATTTTATTTTCTATAACCACTAAGAGGAAGTATTTTGTTCTTCACATTATTTGGAGTAAAGTGATGTTAAGGTGTTGCCTTCTAGATTTCCTTATTTTTTCCTTATGTATTAAAGTGTCTCATGGGGAAATACTTTGAGACTATGTAAATGTTTTGTTACATATTCTTTTTGCCTGCTAATTTTAGCATTGTTGAAGATAACTCGTTCTAAACAAATGGTGTTTGAAGACAGCTCAGGCAATAAAGTCCTTAAGACTCTTCTGCAATTACCATCCCCCCTCCCAAAAAAAATATCCAGGAGTGGAGCTGTGGCTCAAATGGTAGAGCACTAACCTTGAGTAAAAAAGCTAAGGGATGTCACCCAGGGCCACAGTTCAAGTCCCAGTACCAAGGGGAGAAAAGCCAGAAGACATACTGTTTTCAGTTCCAGTGTAATAGCAGGATTCACCATGGCCTTCTTCCTTTCCTTATCTTGTAAACCCCCTTTTCTGATAGGCAAAAATTTGGTTTTATATAGTGTATTTGCTTATTTGCTCCATCCTCAAATACTTTAAGATTTCAGAATTGCTATGACCCCTATGGAAAACAAGAACTGTTTTTGTATGTAGTTTGATTTTCAAACTCAAAAGGTTCTCCCATCTGAAACTCCTGATTTACTGGGATTATAGATGTTTACCACCACAATGTAGAAATTTTTTTTTGAAGTTGAATCAATTTTAAATGAAAATTACCTTTTTTTTAGTGAGTGGAAAATCGATAGCTGTACATGTAAACAAATAGTTACTGATATGTTTATGTTCCTCACTTTGGAAAACAAGAGTAGAATGATACGAATTTATCTCCAAAGTTTTGACTCTGCATACCATTTATTATAGAGTATGGCCTTGGGCAAATTAGTGAGTTTGAACTTAAAATATTTTCTCTTGAAAATTTTCCCTAATAATGACTTTTCAGGACTCGCTTTTCTGTATAGGTGAGTAGGAACCTACACTACCAGAGTATACATTAATGTTAATAGAAATACTGTGCTACAAGATCATTTTAAGTGAGTAATCCTATTAGAATTTGCCATCACTGACTTAAATTATGCTGATTATTAACTTACAAACTTAAACCCAGGTACCCTCAGTGTTTACACATGTTAGAACTGCTCCAATACGAACACTTCCGGAAGGAGCTGGTGAATGCTCAGTGTGCAAAATTCATTGATGAACAACAGATCCTACACTGGCAACACTATTCCCGGAAGCGGATGCGTCTTCAGCAGGCTCTGGCAGAACAGCAACAGCAGAATAACACGTCAGGAAAATGAAGAACATGAAAACAGACCAGGCTTTTAAGATGTGTATATAATATGTATCTCTTGTACAGTGAAGATCAGACTCCTCTTCCTACTTAGTGTGCTTTTTAATCAGCAAACTTTTTATTGTTAATAGATTATTTCTGTTTGACCAGAATTATTCAGCTTGGATTTCTCTGTGGGTCTACACGTTTAGAATCAGCTGAGTAAGAATGGAAATGTTAGTGCTTTAAACTAGTTTAAGGAAGTGGTGGGTTTGGGGGAGGGGAAGGCCACCAAATACACCAGTGTACTGACTGAACTCTAAGGTTAGCTGACTCTGATGTGGGCTTTGTCAAGCCTATCTGCTAGGTCCTATCAGTCCTAGATCAGCTGTTCCCCTTCTTACCCACAGAAGGGTAAGACTGGAATTCAGGATCTCTCAAGTCATAAATCAGAAATCGATAAGGGTTCTTACTTGTATCCCTTCTAGCCAGTAAGCTAACTTTAAGAAAAAGATTAATGGTTAACTACTAGCTGATTTTTTTTTTTTTGGGTCCGGTTGTGGGGCCTGAACTCTAGGTCTGGGCACTGTCCCTCAGCTCTTCAGCTCAAGGCTAGTGCTCTACTACTTGAGCCACAGCGCCACTTCGGGCTTTTTTCTTTTTGCTTATGTGGTGCTGAGGAATCCAATCCAGGGCCTCATGCATGCAAGGCAAGCGCTCTACCACTGAGCCACCTTCCCAGCCCATAGCTGAACTCTTGAGCTTAAACTAGAACCAAGACCAGGAGCTTCAGTTGCTTGTACTCTGAGAAAGTTAACATTTGGCAGGTACCACTAGCTGGACAGTGAAATGTTCCCTTTAATTCTCATTTTATTTGCAGAACAATGTAAGGAGGAAAGAAGTTTAAAGAGCTTAAGAAACTTGTCTGTGGTTGGTTACATAGCTAGTAAGCAGTAGTCAGTGCCTCAGGCAAGATGGCTTTATTCTCAACACTATTCCTAACCCCTCAGCCTTATCCTTAGTGAACCACATTCTAGAAAATTGTACATCAAATCTGCTTAAAGTAAGCCGGCAGCTTTAGACTGCAGTGCTTTGCTTTGTTTAAATCGTGCGTTCCAAAGGCAAAGGTTGTAGTACTACCTGTTTTGCAAATTTACGGAGTTTTAAAGATTCTAATCCCTTCTGAAATTTGGAAGTTCTCTACGGCACTATTAGAAGCTAGTCTTTCAATAGTATTCCTTTGGTCATTGCCAAACTTTTATCTTTTAAAATATCCATATACAGCAAGCAAATTGAAAGTACATGTTTTAATAACATTCTTTATTATTTAGGCATACTGATTTTAAACCATCATTCACTTCTTTACTTTTATAAATTCAAAGAAAGTATGAAGTTTCTTATATACTAGAGAACCAGGAAATTGACACAATCACCATCATCAAATCTTAATCTTCAGAGAATAACATCTCCACGAGGGTGGCCTGAAGACACTCAGATTCTACCAGTTTTTGGGGCTGTAAGAAAATAATAGTTAAGGCTTAACCACTGCTTCGAAATGTTATTAAATTATGCCATGCTGAACCTATCAACTCGTTATGACAAGTTTTATGAGACCTTTAAAGTATCTGCCTTAAGATGAATCATTGAAATACTTGGCTCAAGGGAATTAAATCCCTATAATCATTATCAGGAAGCTCCACATAGTAAAACAGGAGACAGCAAGCCCAAGGCCAGCCATACCTCAACACTAATTTAGGATTCCAGAAGCATAACGTTTCTCTTAAATCTAAATATGAATTAACTGGAAAACCAGTGATTTAAGTACTTGCAGGCATTACCAATCAACTAACTTTCTGTCTACAGACTTCTTAGCAAAGTGGCTTAAAGGCACAAAAAAAGTGCTGGGCCCCAGTGGCTCATACCAGTAATGCTAGCTACTCAGGAGGCAGAAGCCTGAGGATTAGGGCAGGAAATCTGTTAACCAGCAAAAAAGATGGAAGTGGAGTTGTGGAAAAGCACTAGCCTTGACAAAAAAGCTAAAGGTTAGTGCTCAGGTCCTACACATACATACACCCAGAAGAAAAGCCACAGAGACCTAATACTTAAAGTTTGGCTAAGAAATGGACAACGCAGTAGGCTTTTGTTTTTGTTTATATTTTTGGGGAACAGTCTGTCTTGGCAGTATAGCCAAGTTTGGCCTCAAGCTTGAGATCCTCCTGTCAGTCTCCTACATGCTAGGATTGTAAGTCTGACTGCCCATTTAAGTTGTATTTTGGGGGATAGGCGATGGAGGAGAAGGAGTCTACCACAGTTTGAGCTCAAGGCTTTATGCTTTTGAGGTAGGTGCTCTACCACTTAAGCCATACCTCAGCTATTTTTGTCCTGGTTATTTCTTTATTTTTATTTTTGTGCTGGTTTCTGGGCTTGCAGTGCCCAGGCTCAGCCCTTGAGCTATTTTTCTCAAGGCTGGCACTCTACTACTTGAACCATAGCTCTACTTCTGGCTTCTTAGGGGGTTTAAATGGAGATAAAAAAAATCTCAGGACGTTTCCTGTCTAAGCTAGCTTTGAACCATGATCCTCAGATCTAAGCTTCCAGAACAGCTGGTGTTAGTGTTAGCCACTAGTGCCCAGCTTGCTCTGGTTATTGAGATAGGAGTTTTACTTTTTGCCCAGGTCAGCTTGAACTGCAGTCCTGTTTTATGCTTTCTGTTGTGGTTAGGATGATAACCCTGAATCACTGGTCTGGAACTGCAGTCTTCCTAATCTTAACTGCTAAGTTTAGTGAGTTTTGACAGAGTGCAAACATTTTCAGAAAGATACTTACAGTTCCATATTTCAGTAGTGTGGGTACTGCGGTCAGTTTCAGTTTTTGTCTGAAGTCATTATTTGGATCTTTCCAACTACATCAAACATAATTATAAAATTTTAGTTTGTTTAGTACTTTACATATTCCTACATTTTAAAATGTCCTAAACATTTAAAAAAAACTTAAAAGGACCTTATTTTTCTATTTCCCTCAGCAGAATGTTCATTTAAAGTAGGGCTAAAATAAAGGTAAAGTCAGTTAAATTCTGAATTGAACCAGGTCAAAATCATTTAAATAAACCTTCACTTAGCTCAAATGGAACATTTACATTTAAATTTGAATTTTAATGGCTTCTAATTGTTTGACCTCTCAGACTTAAAACACACAACCGGGGCCAATCTAGGGCTCTTTCTACCAACATTTGCTAAAGCCTACTGCACATTTGTGAAATACAGTATACTTTGCCACTTACTAAGTTCTTTCTCCCACTTGGCAGTAGATGAACACACATGCTTCACTCATATGTTTCAGCCCCTCTCGGACGACCGGTTCAGCTTAACAAACACAAAAATGTTAATACAGAATAATTACACATCAATGCCACACTTCCCCTCCCTCCCCACCTCGGTAAAGACATCAGACTTTAACCTGCAGTTACTTTAACCTGCAGTTACTTTCTGAGGCGTGAACGAGTCACATGTTCTCGGACCAAGTCCGAGTCCTCACTGGCTTTATGCCATACAACCAGAACAATGGAGAGCCTATTTGCTAACTCAAAGGAGACCAGTTCAACTGTTCCAACTGTTCGGCGAGACACTGATCATCTACAGGAAGTGGTTTGGTTCTGTGGAGCTATGTTCTAAGATCATTTGGGTTGGGTGGTAAAGAGAACCATCTTACTGGGCTGGGGAAGGCCTGAGGCGGAGCCCCCAGACGGCAGCGCGGCCTGCCCGCTTACCTCCGGGCCCATGCCTCCCACCTCTGCCTCTCTCCACCTGGCTCCGAGCGTCGCTCGGCCTTCCCACCACTCCTGGGCGGCAGCCCCGGCCAGGCCTCACCTAGCACGCAGTCGGGACACCAGCTCTTCCCTTCGGCGTCCTTAGAACCGCTGAAGTAGGCGAAAATGGTCTTGTCCTGGTGCTGCTCCACAGCCTGGTTGAACTCCTCGAACCCAGACACGCTCACCTCCTCGTAGCGGGCCATGGGGACCGCGCCCGGCGGCGCTCCGGGGGAGCCCACGGGGGCCGCCTTCGGCGGGGAGACGGGGGAGCTCAGGGGCACCGTGCCCGGTAGGGAGAAGGAGAAGCCCAGGGGTGCCGTGCCCTGCAGGGAGATGGAGGAGCCCCGGGACACCGCGCTCGGCAGGGAGATGGAGGAGCTCACGGGCACCGCGTTCGGCAGCGAGACGGAGGAGCCGCCGCACACCGCGTCGGGCAGAGACAGGGAGGAGGCTCCGCAGACCGCGCCCGCCAGGGAGACCAAGGAAGCGCCGTGGACCGAGTCTGGCAGTGAGACTGTGGAGCTCGGCAGCGAGCGGGAGGAGCCTCCGGGTCCCGCCATGAGGCGGAGCCCAGAGGGGGCGGGGAAAGCCTTCCCCTCGAGTGGGCGAGCAGGACCCGCGGAAGTCAGCGCCGCTCGGCCCGGCTACGGGAGCCTCCGAAGGTCATAACTCTCCCGCACCGCTGTTCGGCTCTCGTTTTTACCGCTCTTTCGTGGCTAGCTTCCCTCTGCCACCCAAGTTTCCTCCGTAATCCGGTCTCCGCCCTCGGCCCATGGACAGTGGCTACCAAACCTGCGCCGTTCGGCCTCGGGATCCTCCCGTGGCTCCGGAGCCACAACGGTTCCCCCTGCCGCCCGTCGCCGGTTGCTATGACAACGGGGCGAGCGGCCGGAAGCAAGGCCTAGTTGGGGTCCCCCGGCCCGCCTCCTGGTAGCCGCGCCTCGCCCCGGCCAGGTGGGCTCGGGCTGGGGCTGGGAGGATTCTGGGAAGCCATATTCGGCGTCACGGATCTGGGGGAGAGGAGACCTTGATCCGGGAAGGCCCCGCCGCTTCGTTTCCCCATTACTAGCTGTGGGGGGGCGTGGGGCTGATGAAGCCGGGGAGGCCCGGCGGGGGTTGAGGGGCGGAGCTGGGGGAGGAGGGGGAAGCCCGAGACCCGACAGGGGTCGGTGAGGGGG